TTTCTTGCTGTAAGGATTTGTTGCCTCTTTTGAGTCACTGCATTCGTAGGTATAGGTCAAGTTCATCAGATTGAATCAGCTCAATCGTTTTTTGTTGTTGTTTTTTCCCCTTCTTCTTTCTTCTCCTGGTTGAGCTCTGATCATCTAGACATCCGGTACCGGTCACGTGGGTACCATCTGCAAGTGTGGGTGTTCTTGTGCGCATGCCCTCTCTTCCCATCAGCCGGCAGCTCCATTCTCCACTTGAGTCCTCCGTGGCCATGTCACTGACTCTGGGCCCATGAGTCCTCGGGTCTCCTCACACTGCTTGCCACCCAGGTCCCCAACTGGGTCCACAGAAGCCCACTGAATATTATAAGGCTTAGCTTTCCGCTTCATTGTTGCCTTTACCCCACTTCTCCCCATCGGTGATGTGTGTGGTCACCAATCCGAGCATGCATTTCCACCGCGTCTCAGTCTTGGAAGGGGGCCTAGATGTATTTTTAATTACTGATCATTGCCATGTGAAATTTGGAAACAAAGAAGGATTGTTTGTTGTTAAGTGCCCTCAATTCCGTTCTAACTCAAACTGACCCTGTATAGGGTTTCCAAGGAGCAGCTGGTGGGTGTGAACCATTGACTTTGTAGTTAGCAGTTCAGTGTTTGTATCCTACAGTGCCACACCAGGACTCCAAATAAGGAATGTAGTTGGAAACTATGGCCTTAGTGATAGTAATAATGCTAGAGATTGTGTGATAGAATTTTGCAAGACCAATGACTTATTCACTGTAAATACCTTTTTTCAAAAACATAAACAGTGACTATACACATGAACCTTGATGGATTTGATATATAGGAACCAAATGGACTAGATCTGTGCAAAGAGATAACGGAGAAGTTTAATATCATCAGTTAGAACTAGGCCAATGGCCAATTGCAAAGCAGACTATTTAATCACTCACCTGCAAGTTCAAGTTCAAGCTGAAGAAAATTAAAACAAGTCCACAGGGGCCTAAGTCTGAGCTTGAGTTTATCCCACCTGAATTTAGAGTCCATTTCAAGTATAGATTTAACACATTGAACACTAATGACCGAAGACGAGATGAATTGTTGGTTGACATTATATATGAAGAAATAAAGTCATTAAAAAGACAGAAAAGACAAAAATGGGACTCAGAAGAGATTCAGACCCTTGCTCTTGAATGTAGAATAGCTAAAGCAAGTAGAACTGAACCAAAGATTTCAAAGGGCAGCTTGAAAAGACAAAGTAAAATATTATAATGAAAAGTGCTAAGACCCAGAGTTATAAAACCAAAAGGGAAGAGCATGCTATGTATTTCTCAAACTGAAAGGACTGAAGAAAAAGCTCAAGCCCCCAGGATGGAAGGATTCCATTGAATGGAGTCCTGGTGTAGTGCTGCGGGTTAATGCACTGGAATGCAAGTTCAATTTGAACTGCAAGGTCGGTGGTTCAAGATCACAAACTGCTCCTCGGAAACCCTGTACAGGGTCGCTATGAGTTGGAACTGACTTGATGGCACTTAACACCAATTGAATGACATGGGAACCATCAAAAGAAGTTAGAAGGAATACAGAGTTACGGTACCAAAAACAATTGGTTGACGTTCAACTATTTCAAGAAGTAGCAGATGATCAAGAGCCAATGGCCTTGAAGGAAATAGTCCAAGCTGCATTGAAGGCACTGACAAAAACAAAGCTCGAGGAAATGATGTAATTCTTTAACAAATGGATGTAGCTCTAAAGGCGCTCATTTGTCTATGCCAAGAAATTTGGAAGACAGCTACCTGGACAACTGACTGGAAGAGATCTATCTTTGCGCTCATTCCAAAAAAGATGATACAACAGAATGTGGAAATTACTGAACAGCATATATCATAAATACCACACAAAAGAAATTTTGCTGAAGATAATTTAAAAATAGTTGCAGCAGTACATTGCCAGAAATTCCATCCAGATTTAGAATAAAAGAAGATGTGGAAAGAGGGATATAATTGCTGATGTCAGATGGATCTTTGCTGGAAGCAAACAATACCAGAAAGATGTTTCCCTTTGTTTTAGTGACAGTGCAAAAGACATTGATTATATGGATCATAGTAAATTACGAATTTCCATCAAGAAGAATGGGAATCCCAGAACATTTCATTATACTCATGGGCAACCTGTACATAGACCAAGAAACAGTTGTTCAAACATAACAAGGGGATACTGAATGCTTTAAAATCAGGAAAAATGTGTGCCAGGGTTGTATCCTTTCACCATACATATTCCATCTATATTATTCCATCTGAGCAAATAATCCAAGAAGCTGGATTATATGAAGATTACAGAAGAGTCATTAACAACCTGTGAAATGCACATGACACAACCTTGCTTGCTGAAAGCTAAGAGGTCTTGAAGCACTAACTGGTGAAAATCAAAGACTACAACCTCCAGTATGGATTACACCTTAACAGAAAGAAAATGAAAGTCCTCACAAGCAAATCAATAAACAGCATCATGATAAACACAGACATTATTAAAGTTGTCGAGGATTTCATTTGCTTGGATCAATACTTATGAAAGCAGCCGCCAAGAAATCAAATGACAGATTGCATTGAGCAAATCTGCTCCAAAAGACCTCTGTAAAGTGTTAGAGAGCAAAGATATCAATTTGAGGACTAAGGTGCCCTTGATCTAAACCATGATTTTTTTTCATTCACCTCATATACATGTGAAACTGAACAATGAATAGGAAGACTGGAGAAGAATTGATGCTTTTGAATTATTGTGTTGTAGAAGAATCATGGATTGCCAGAAAAATGAACAAATCTGTATCGGAAGAAGTACATCCAAAATGCTCCTTAGAAGTGAGAATGATAAGACTTTGTCTCATGTACTCTGGGCATGTTATCAGGAGGGTCTGGAGAAGGACATGCTTGGTAAAGTAGGGGTCAGTGAAAAAGAAGAAGAATGAAATGGATTGGCCCAGTAGCTACAACAACATGCTTAAACATACCAATTGTGAGGACGGTACAGAGGCAGGCAGTGTTTCATTCTGTTGTGCCTTGGATTGCTAGGAGTCAGACTGGCTTAAGGGTACCTAACACCACCAACAACAACCTTATAATTGCTGAGTGTTTTGGTGCCCAAAGTGTGATGGTTAATTTTATGTAACAACTTGGCAAGACAATAATTCTCAATGTTTTGGTTGGCTACTGTTCTGGTTGCTGTACTTCAATGCAACACAATGTAACATAATGCAATATAATGTAAAGTAATGTAATCTTACCACCTTCCATAAAGCACTCCACTGTAATGTGTATAATGCAATCCCCATCTATAGTGTGACTGATGTGATCAACCAGTTAGTTGAAAGGGAAGTCTCCTGCCTTGAGAATATATATAGATACTCAGGCAGAGCTCTTGTTCTTTCATTGGTTTTTGTATCCTTCTTCTTCAGCCTTTGGTATGATTTGCACCTCAATGTAAAGAAAACAAAAATCCTCACCACTGGATCAATAATAAATAACATCAAGATAAATGGAGAAAAGATTGAAGTTGTCAAAGACTTCATTTTGCTTGGATTCCCATTCAAAACTCATGGAAGCAGCAGTCAAGAAATCAATGGATGTGTTGCATTAGGCAAGTCTGCTGAACAAAAACTCTTTAAAGTGTTCAAGAGCAAAGATGTCAGCTTGAGGACTAAGGTGTGCCTGACCCAAGCCATGGTATTTTCAATAGCCTCATATGCATGTGAAAGTTGGCCAGTGAATAAGGAAGACTGTAGAAGAACTGATGCTTTTGAGTTATAGTGTTGGAGGGGAATAGTGAAAGTGCCATGGGATGCCAAAAGAACAAACAAATCTGTTTGGAAGAAGTACAGCTGATCCTATTGCTACACTTGATCCTATTGCTGCTGACACTGTGCCAATCCATCTCATTGGAAGTCTTCCTCTTTGACATTCACCCTCCACTTTACCAAGCATGATGTCCTTCTCCAGGGACTGGTCCCTCCTGATAATATGTCCGAAGTATGAGAGGCAAAGTCTGGCCTTCTTGGCTTCTCAGGAGCATTCTGGCTGTAGTTTTATCAATACAGATTTATTTGTTCTTCTGGCAGCCCATGGCACTTTCAATATTCTCCTCCAACACCATAACTCAAATGCATCAATTCTTCTATTGTCTTCCTTATTTGTTGTCCAACTTTCACATGCAGATGAGGATATTGAAAATACCATGGCTTGGGTCAGGCGCACCTTAGTCCTCAAACTGACTTCTTTGCTCTTGAACACTTTGATGAGATCTTGTGCAGAGGATTTGCCTGATGCAATATGTCATTTGATGTCTATAAACCTTTTTGGCACAGGACCGGGCAGTGTTTCATTCTGTTGTGCATAAGGTCACTATGAGTTGGTACTCAGCACTTAACAACAACAAACTTTTATGGGAGCAGACAACCTCATCTTTCTCCCATAGAGCAATTAGTGAGTTTGAATCAAAGACTTTGCAGTTAGCAGCTTAATGCTTGCCTCATAGTTCCACCAGGGTATCTATATATAAGATGTGAGGTAAGCATCATATAGCTAAAAAAATAGAAGACAGACAGATAGATAGATGGATAGGTAGGTAGACCTGGCTAGTTCTGCTTCTCTAGAGAACTCAAACTAAGACTTCCTTCATCTGCCCTTATTATTCGTGTCTCAAGCTGATGGCACAGAGTATGCGCTTAATAAGTGAAAGCTGTCATTAGTTTTCTAAGGGAGTCCCTGGTTGGCACAGATAGTTACACACTCATCTACAAGGTGAAAGGTTGGTGGTTTGAACCCACCCAGAGGTTCTTTAGAAGACAGACTTGGTGATCTGCTTCTGAAAGGTTACAGCCTTGAAAACTCTACGGAATACAGTTCTACTCTACACTTATGAGGTGGCGGTGAAACAGAATTGATTCAACAGCAATTAACAACAAGATCAGTTTCCTAAAGCTAGGACATCATGGGAAAGTGTTGTGGTGGGTCACGTACCGTGTAGCTCATCTCAAACTTCCATTTGCATGCCTGCAGGTCCCAGAGGCAGAGCAGGGCATCCTCTGATCCACTCACGGCCAGCTGTTCCTTGTGACTGACCTCCACGCAGGTGACCCGGCTCTTGTGAGCCTCCAAAGGGAACACCTTGGAATTGGCACACTCGTAGAGAAAGAGGTCGCCATTGGTCATGCCGTAGACCACACGGTAGTCAGCCAGCACGGCCACGCTGGTGATGGTCTCTGGCAGCTGGGTATAAAAGGTGTAGGTCGGGCCATCGATGACAGGACAGGGGTCCCCGGGACTGATATCCAGCACCAGGACAATGTTGTCATAAGCGATGGCCAGGCGCTCCTCACCCTTGCTCAGTGACATGCAGTTGATGGCTTTGCGGGCCTCTGGAGGCGGAATGCACATCACATCCTGCCGGGAATTCAGGGGGAACACGAGGACAATCCCGGACACCAGGCCAGTGAACAGGAGCTTGGTCTGCTCAGCCACTTCCAGACACTTGACCTCATTGGAAGTGTCCAGAGCATCTTGTTCCTCACCTGCCAAGAGGAGGAGGCCATGTCAAAAACAGAGCCTATTACCTGATGAGTTCTTTTTACAAAAGTATATTTTTTTATAATTTTCATTGTTGTTATGGAAAATGTACTCAGTATAACATATGCCAATTCAACTATTTCTGTAAGTACAATTCAGTGCCATTGACTTCATTCTTCAAGATGTACAACTATTCTCATCTCTTTTCCAGTGACTCCTCCCCTATTGACTTGGGCTCTGTTGTTACGTAACCTGAAATAAAATTAGGATCAACAACTAAATTCTCAAGGAACCTGGATAGCACAAGCGGTTTGCAATGAACTGCTAACCAAAATGGTTCAAATCAAGGCAGTGCTGTGGAAGAAAAACCTGGAAAACTGCTTCTGTAAAAAGATTGTTATTGTTGTTGTTAAGTGCCATTGAGTCAGTTCTGACTCATTGAGACCCTGGATAGCATTTCCAAGGAGCAGCTGGTGGGTTTGAACTGCCAACCTTTTTGTTAGCAGTCCAGTGCTTATTCTACAGCACCACACCAGGACTCTGTAAAAAGATCACAGTCAAGAAAACCCACTGTAACAAATGTTACACTGTAACATCTGGGGCTGTCATAAATTAGGGGTGGACTCAACGACAGCTAGATTACCAACCACTTTATGCTGGAAATGTATAAAATCAAGTTCAGTTTTCTATTAGTCACCTTCAACCTTTCTGGAGTTATGGGGACTTCAATTCTTAACCCACAAAAATAATACAAGTAAGTCATTGTGACCATACTTAGATTTTACAAACCTTCCGCCAAGTCCCAGATGGTGACTTTATTTTTGTCCCCAATCCTGGGGAAATAGATGTAGCTTCCATTGTGAGACACGGCAGTGAGGCCAGTGCGATCCAGAAACGGGGCAGAGACCCGTGGCTTCTGAGAATAGGCGAGGTCCCAGACTTTGAAAGACGAAGATTGTTGGGAACCAGATGCCACCAAGTCCCCGACTCGGACCAGCAGATTCACAGGGGCCCCAACACCTTCGAGGATGTCCAGCAGGGTCCCCTGCTCCGACAGACTCCATACCTGAGAACAAAGAACAGAACAAAGTGTATTACAGGAACCCCAATATCTTAATCTCTAAGAGCTGCTATAACAGAAATACTGCAAGTGGGTTGTTTCAAAGAACAGAAACTTATTTTCTCACAGTTTAGGAAGCTAGAACATATATGGTGAGTACAGATCTTGTTTGCCAGAAGCAAAGAGGACTTAAAATACTTACTGATGAAGACCAAAGACTACAGCCTTACATATGATTGTACCTCAATGTAAAGGAAAGAAAAATCCTCATAACTGGACCAATGAATAGCATTGTGATCAACGGAGAAAAAAAAATTGAAGCTGTCAAAGACTTCATTTGTGTGGATCATAACAAATTATGACTTCACTGAGAAGAATGGGAACTTCAGAGCACTTAATTGTGCTCATGGAAAACCTGTACGTAGACCAAGAGGTAGCCATTAAAAATAGAACAAAGGGACACTGTGTATTTTAAAATCTGGAAAGGTGTGCATCAGGATTGTATCCTTTCCTCAGATTTGCTCAATCTGTGTGAAGAACTCAGCATCAGGATTGGAGGAAGACACATTAACAACCTGTGATATGCAAATGACATAACCTTGCTTGCTGAAAGTGAAGAGGACTTGTAGACCAATTTCAGATTTTAGTATGGATTACACTTCAATGTGAAGAAAGCAAAAATCCTCACAACTGGACTAATAAGCAACATCATGATAAATGCAGAAAATCCTTGAATGTGTCAAGGATTTCACTTCACTTGGATCCATAATCAATATCTATGGAAGCAGCAGTCAAGAAATAAAATCATCTAAGAAATGTTTTACATCAATTTAGATAGGTTTATAACCTTTTGTTTTAAATAACCTTTTCTAAAAAGTATACATTGTAAGCATTTTGCAAGTATGATTGTAAATTTTGTAACCTACCTAAATATATTTAAGCATGTGTATTTACTAGAATAGAAAAGCCTTTTCCAAAAAAAATTAAACTCCTTTGTGACCTCAATCAAAAATAACCAATGATTTTATTGTTCCTGGCTGTATGTCCATATGCCATTTGTCTGTATGTTCCTTGCCATATGCCGTATGTTCTTTGTTCCTTGCCTACTCAGAACTCATGCTGAAATTGCCCTGTTTTTATAACCTGGTGGTTTTCCATCCAGATGTCTCTCTAAAGTCAAGTAAAACCGCTAAAAAATTTTTTTTTAAGTATTTTTTCATAAAGCCAAGTTATTTATGTTAACATGTAATGGTTTTGTTATTTTAGAATGAATCAATGAATACATATTTTTGGGTTTCCTCAGTTTTAATCTTAGATTTTGTGACTAGCCATAGATACTAAATGTGTTGCAGGACCTTCAATTGGATCCTGGAATTGAAAAAGGACATTTGTGGGAAAACTGGTGAAATCTCAGTAAAGTCTGTAGATCCGTTGATAGTATTGTCTAGCATTGATGTCTTAATTTTGATAAATGTATCAGGATAATGTGAGAGGTTTACACTGAAGGAAGATAGGTAAAAGGTGTAACAAAAGATCACAGCCTTGAAAATCTCTGGAGCAATTCTACTCTGCCCACATTGGGTCTCTATGAGTCAGAAGAGACGCAGTGGCAACTAAGAAAAACAGCAACCTCCTAAACTGTGAGAACATACATTTCTGTTCTTTAAAGCCATCCACTTGTGGTATTTGAGCTCTAGCAGCCGCAGGGCACTGTGACAATACTTATCAATAAATGCCACTGGATTTAGGGTTCGAGCTTGGATTCCATGCTGGGCAGCACCACTCAATAGCTGGATGACTGTAAGCCCGTCCTTGATTCTCTTAGAGCCTCAGTGTCTCACCTGTTAAATGATGACGATACTAGGACCACCCTATAGGGCTAGTACTGTCTGGGAAGTGTATTGAATGGTGGCTTCTATAGCCACCCCTCCCAGAGAGGCAGTATCATCTGTACTCTATTTGAAACTCGTCTTCCAAATATCAAACATTAACTCCAAATAGCAAGTAACCCATTGTCATCCAGGTGAGTGTGACTTCTGGTAAACCTGCATGTGTAGAGTAAACTATACTCCACAAGGTTTTCGAGGCTGTGAACTTTTAGAAGCAGATTGTCAGGCCTGTCTTCTGAGGCGCTTTTGAATGGGTCTGAACCCCAATCTTTTGGCTAGTAGTTACGCACTTAACTGTTTGTGCCACCCACGAACTCCTCCAAAATAAATCATTTGCTTTAAAAATCTATCTATCTCTATGTCCATCACTCAGTTTATTGTATTGTGGCAACCTCCGTGTTACTGTGATGCTGGAAGCGACTTCAAATACTAGCAGAGTTATTCATAGTGAGCAGGTTTTGTCAGAATTTCTAGACTAAGAGAGACTAGGAAGAAATACCTGGTAATCTACTTCCACAAATGAGTCAGTGAGAAGCTATGGATCACAGCAAAGCATTGTCTGACTTGCTTCTTTTAGACATGCCATCAGAAGGGACCAATTGCTGGAGGGCATTGTATTTGGTGAAGAAGGGGGACAGCGATGGTGAGGGAGACGCTCAGTTAGATGCTTGGCACAGTGGCCACGGAAATGCTGCGGACCATGAGGATGATGCCAGACTAGGCAGCATTTGGTTTTGTTGTCCAGAGGTCAGAACTTCCATTGTCCAATGGCAGCGATCTGTCTATCTCTCTCTTAATGGTATGTATAACCCACACATACTAAAGCTCTCCGGGGTCCCTAATCATCATCCTACTGTGTCGTTTTCATGTCAGCTTCAGTAACTTTGAGCTTGACCATCATTTCCTTCTTGCATCCTGCTCTGCCTGCAGGACACGTCTTCCCAGTGTTTCAGGTTCATCTGGAACACTATCTCCGTCACTGACTGAGTAACCACCCTGCTTCCACAGACGCACTCCCATAGTTTCCTGATGACCTGTCTCGCTTTGTCTGTGCTACGTTTCATGGGCTTCTATTCCTGGATGCCAAAAGGTCCCCAAAGAATCATATTTTCTATTCTGGGACAGAAGGGAGGATGTTAGTGGGATCTCCCCCTCACCTGAATGAGTGAGTCACGGGACCCTGTGACAATGAGGTTGTTCTTGGGACCAAAGACAGCTGTCTCCACCGTGTCCTCGTGTTCCAGATCTGTGGCCATGAAGTGATGGAAGCCCTGTGAGTCCGCCAAGAATACTCGCACAGATCTTCCGAAGCCTGAAATGAGAGGGACAGGGTTTCCCTTCTGTTCCTTGAGTATGAGAATCACCAATCAATCAGCCTTAACTTTTCTGAGCATCTCTTACGTGTCAGCAGAAGGAACACAGTGAGCAATGAGAGAGATACAGCCCCTGTTATGAATTGAGTTCTGTCCCCCCAAAATATGAGTTGAAATCCTAACTTCTACTGTTCCTGGGAGTAATCCCATTTGGGAGTAGAGTTTTCTATGTTGTGCTAATGAGGTCATATCAGTGTGTTGTTGTTGTTAAGTACGATTCCGACTCATAATAACCCTATATAAGGTTTCCAAGGAGCGGCTGGAGAGCTTGTTGAACTGCCGACCTTGCAGTTCAAAGAGACCTTGCAGTCCAGTGCATTAATCCGCAGCAACACACTGTGATTCCATATCAGTGTAGGGTGTGTCTTAAACCAGTCACTGCTCTCATTTTGAAATAAGAAAGGTGCAGATTAGACACAGGATATATGATCCATATGCATTGGAACCAACTTGACAGCACTTAACAACAAGACTACAGGGTTTTGATCCTAAGAAGCCAGGATGGCAAAACTTCATTTCTCATGCTTTAGACATGCTACTAAGAGGGACCAGTCCCTGGAGAAAGACATCATGCAAAAAAGAAGAAGAGCCACCAACAAGATGGGTTGACACTGTGGCAGCAGTAACGAACTTAAGTGTAATAACTGTGAGGTTGGCACAAGACTGGCCAGTGTTTCGTTCTGTTGTCTGAACTGACTCAACGACACCTAATGACAACAGCAAAGATGTAGCATTTTGGAAGGCAAGAACTGCTTGTTTGGGTTCACAATTGTATCCCTGTACCCAGTGCAAAGCTAGCACAGAGTAAGATAGAAAAATAAAATCATTCCCATTGCTGCGGTTTCCAACTGCTGGCATTCCCAAATGTTACAAACTAGAACGAAAACTGGGGTTTTCTTAGCTGAAGTCTTTACAGACTTTTCTTCAACGGCTTTTCTTCACCAGACCTTTCTTCAATGGTTTCACTGGGTGCGTGAAGCTTCATTCAGTTAGGAGTTAACTGCAAACTGTGCCACCCAGGGGCCTTTTTATCACCACACAGCCACATTCATCCATTGGCTGTATTGTCTACAATACACCGTGGCAGAGTGGAGTCTAGTTTTTACAATGGTGCCCATAAGGCTTTGCAACTCCCAAAAGAGTTACTATCTGGTCCTTGATAAGAAAAGGTTTGCCAATCTGCGATCTTTCCCTTTCCCCAAACCCCTTCTTACTGACAACCAAATTCTAGTCTGCCTTCTTCTACACCCATAAATGAGAACCAAACACTACCTGCAGCAAGAAGGGACTCATCCTCAGAGATCACCAGGAATCCCACAGCTTCTGGAAGTTTCTCTAGCAGGCTGTCTCCTTCGGAGGAAACCTGTGCACAATCAAAGATGTCGGATAGTGATTGAACTGTGTTTCCCCCTCAAGAATATATGTGTTAGAACCCTTACTCCTATACCTGTGGCTGTAATCCTAGTTGAAAACAGGCTGTGATTTCCAGGCCTTTCTTTCAAGGCATCTCTGGGAAGATACCACTAACCTTTTGGCTAGTAGTCCAAACACTTAGGCCAGACACAGAGAGAAGCAAGTGCAATATAGGGAAAAAAGATGGATGCAATGCAGAGATCGTCAAGGAACCCAGGAACTTAGGGCCACAGAAGCTGTGATAAGGATCATCTCCCAGAGCTGAAGAGAGATCCTTCCTTTAGAGTCAGAGCCCTGCCTTGAGGATGCTAGCTTTTTTTTAACAGGAGTCCCCAGGTGGCACAAATGGTTTAAGGGTCTGACTAGTAGCCCAAAGGTTTAAACCCACCCAGAGGAGTCTTGGAAAGCTTAGTGATCTCCTTTGGAAAGTTCACAGCCTTGGAAAATGTCTGGAGCTCTTCTACCCTGCACACATTGGGTTGCCATGAGTCAGAACTGCTCATGGTGTCTACTGTTGTTGTTGTTATCAAGTGCTATCGTTTCCAACTCATAGTGACCCTGTATAGGGTTTCCGAGGAGTGGCTGGTGAGTTTGAACTGCTAGCCCAGTGCAATATCCTGTACCACCACACCAAGCAAGACTCCATTACTACATTTTCTAGAAAATTCCACCTTCATTAACATACCCTTACTGCAACAACAACTGCCCTTAAGGAGTCCTGGTATGGTGCTGTGGGGTAACGTGTCAGACTGCAAAGTCGTTTGAACTGCAAGGTCGGCAGTTCAAGCTCACCAGCTGCTCCTCGGAAACCCTATACAGGGTCGTTATGGGTCGGAACCAATTTGACAGCACTTAACAACAACAAGAACAACTGCCCTTAAGGAGGCCTGGTGTGGCACTATGGATTAATGTGCTGGACTGCAAAGTCAGTTTGAACTACGAGGTTGGCGGTTCAAGCTCACCAGCCACTCCTCAGAAACCCTATACAAGGTCGCTATGGGTCAGAACTGACTCAATGGCACTTCACAACAACAACACTGTCCCTTAAGCAAAACCTCTCCCTCTCTACTTCCCTCCTAACCCTGGTAACCACTGATAATCTTTAGTTTCTCCATATTTGCATAACAACACAAACAGCCTCCTAAACTGAGACATGAATTTCTGTTCTTGAAAGTCACTCATTTGTGGTCCTTGTGTTACCTCAGTGAAGAACACTGAGACAATGTCCATCAATCTAAGCCTCAGAGTTTAGGGTTAGGGCTTAGATACCTTGTTGGGCACACCACTCATTAACTGGATGACCCTAAACCAGTTCCTGATCCCCTCAGGAGTCTCAGTGTTAAATGATGACACTAAAACCCATTCTGCAGTCCTGATGTGGCGCTGTAGGATAAGCACTCAACCATGAGGTTGGTGGTTCAAACCCACCAGTTGCTCCTCGGAAACCTTATACAGGGTTTGTTATGGGTCGACTTAACAACAACAACAAGGCGACTGCTGTCTAGGAAGTACCTTGAATGGTGGTGCCCCCAACACCTAGAATGGGAGCTATCACCATCATTATTATTGCCAACGCCATTCATTGTTGTTGAAACCACCCAGGGAACCAACGAAGATTCTAGCACTCCATCTTCCATGGAGGAGCGATGTCAAATAAGGTCAGAACATAGGCTGGGTGGGTAGACACAATGGAATATTACAGCCATAAAGAGCAATGAAGTCCCGATGCCTGCCACCACATCGATGAACCTTGGAAACATTGGGCTGAGTCAGTTGCAAAAGGACAAATACTGTATGACCTCACTTGTATTAAATAAGCAAATAGAAACCAGAGATTATTAGTCATTACCAGGGCTGGGAGGGAGGAGGGAAGAGGGAGTTTTTGCTTCAAGGGCATTGAGGTCACGTTAATTTTGGACATTTTGGAACAGGATTGAGACAATGGTGGCACATCATGAAAACTGTAATCAATGCACTGAGCTGTAAATACAGAAGTTGTATTCTCCAATGCTTTCCTGTGCATTTTCTCACCAAAAAAATTAAAATAAAAAACAAAAACAGAGGCTGGAGCTAGCATAAGGCACCATTTCCATCATCTCTGAGTTGTAGAAATCTACGGATTTTTTTTTTTTTTAAATATATATCTATATGTTGTTGTTGTTGTTAAGTGCCGTCGAGTCGGTTCCGACCCATAGCGACCCTGTACAGGGTTTCCGAGGGTGTAAATCCTTACGGGAGTAGAAAGCCTCATCTTTCTCCCGCGGAGTAGCTGGTAGTTTCGAACTGCTGACCTTATGGTTCGCAGCCCAATTCGTAACCACTACGCTACCAGAGCTCCTTTATATATCTATATAGAGTGGTAAAAATTATATGTAGCATAACTTTTGCCATTTCAACATTCTTCACATATATTTTTCAATGACATTATGTTCACCATGATGTACAGCCATCACAAAGATCCATTTTCAAAGTTTTCCATCATCCTTAATAGACAGTGTCCCCTAAAAAATGAGTCCCCTTTTCTCCTTCCCTCCCAGACATCCCTGGTAACCACAAATTAACTTTAGTCTGTATTCTCTTGCTTACACTAAATAGTTCATTCTAGAAGTGGAATCACAAAATATTTACCTTTTTGTGATTAATGTAATTCACTCGGCATGTTTTCAAGGTTCACCCATGTTGAGGTATGTATGCATCCGGACTTCATTTCTTTATATGACGGAGTAAAAATTCCATTGTATGGGTGGACCACATTGTGTTTGCCCATTCATCTGTGAATGGACACTTGAGTTGCTTCCACCCTTTGGTTATTGTGAATGGTGCTACAGTGAACTTTCATGTACAAGTATCTTTTTGTTTTCACTTTCAGTTCTTAAGAGTAGATACTAGGAGTAGAATTGCTGGCTTACATGGCAATTCAATGTTAAACTTTTTGAGGAATTGTCATGCTGTTTTCCACAGTGGCATATGATTTTGCATTCCACCAGCAATGCATGAGGGTTCCCATTTCTCTACAATCTTCACCTACACTTGTTAATTTTCATGCATGTGTTTTTGTTTTCTTTTAAATTATAGACTTCCTAGACATAGTAAATGGAGCTCTGGTAGCTTAATGGTTATGAATAGGTCTGCTAATCTCACAGTCAGCTGTTCAAAACTACCAGCTGTTCTGTGGGAGAAAACTAAGGCTTTCTGTTCCTGTAAGATTTACAGCCTCGGAAACCCTATGCTAGGTCACTATGAGTCAGAATCTACTCGACAGCACTCAAAAACAACAACAGGCATAATAAAGTGGTATCTATGACGGCTTGTGAGTTGCTGTGATTCTGAAAGCTATGACACCAGTATTTTAAATACCAGTCGGGTCACCCCTGGTGAACAGGCTTCAGATGAGTTTCCAGATGAAGACAGACTAGGAAGAAGGAATGACGAACTACTTCTGAATATTTAGTCACTGAAAACCTTATGAATAACAGAGAAACACTGTCAGATATAGTGCCACAAAATGAGCCCCTTAGGTCAGAAGACACTCAAAATGAGACTGGGGAAGAGCTGCCTCCTCAAAGTAGACTTGACCGTGATGACGCGAATGGAGTAAAGCCTGTGGAAGAAAAGCTCCCAGGATCTTTATTTGCTGATGGGACACAACTCAAAATGAAGAGAAACAGCTGGAAACATCCATTGAAAATCAGAACATGGAATGTACGAAGTATGAATCTGGGAAAATTGGAAGTGGTCAAAAATGAAATGGAACACAGAAACATTGATATCTTAGGCATTAGTGAGCTGAAATGGACTGGTATTGGCCATTTTGAATCTGATGACCACATGGTTTACTATGATGCCTGGAATGACAAATTGAAGAGGAATGGTGCTGCATTCATTGTCAAAAAGAACATATCCAGATCAGTCATGAGGTACAACGCTGTCTGTGATAGGATAATATCCATGC